ATGGATTACAGGTGAGAAATAGAGCGCATGGAGAAGGGAGGAGCTTGGAGAAGGAGGCCAGGGCAGAGATGATCTTGGTTAGAGTGGCTACATAGGAGCACAGGCCAGAGAAGATAGAGGCTTGGCTAGAGACACCGGCAAGTTGGCAGAATAATGGTAGATCCATAAGAGATTTAGAAGCTAGAGCAGTTAAGATACGGTGGGTCACTGGGCTTGCCATAAGAGAGCAGGAGGACCAAGATGATTTCCAGAGTTTTGATTTAGATGACTGAGTGGTACCACTGATAGAGCTAAGTGAAAACTGGAAGAGGAGCCAGTTGTTTATGGGTAAGTGGTGGGAGAATGATGAATTCGGCTGTGGACACAATTTGAGGCACGTGTGAGATACAAGGAGTGAGGCTGAGTAGACAGTGGAAAAGATGGCAATATAATGGTCAGCGGGAGTCTGTGTACACATGAATCAATCTGTCTAGGAAGTGAGTGGAGTGAAGGGCTTAGGATGAAATCCTGAGATCCTCTCACCATTTTAAGGATCAGGTTGAGAAGGAGCCAGCAAAGTGACCAAGGAATAGTCAGAGGATAAAAGTAACACAGGACTGTGTGGTTCTATGGAAGGCCTTGAGGAAATGGCCTAAGACAAATGTTTCAGTGAATTAGCAGTCAGATTTTAAGTAGAGAACATCACTCAATAATTTAAGTTCTGATAATTCTCCCCTTTTATTAGGAAATTGTATATCAACATTTCTTGGGGGAAAAAACACCTCCTTCACTCCCACCTTAAAATAATTATTTTATTTTCATATAAGTATCTTATCTTCCAGTATTTATTTATAATGCATAAACATTTTTGCATGGCTGTAGCTAAAATGAATGCATAATTTTAATTTTTTCCATTTGAAAGTGAAAGAAACTTAATGACTTCCTAATTGGTATTTTAGTGGCTGTGTAATGTTTCATTCAGTGACATTTTAGAGATCTGTAAAGAGATATGGCCTAGTCTATCAAAAACAGGAAGAAAAAAAATTACAGGAAGATCAGCTTTTTCTCACAACGCATCCTCCTTTACCATTAACAAGATCATTTAAAATAGTTTAAAAACCATGGAAGCAAATAAGTCTGTTGATAATCCTGTCTTCTGGAGATTAAATACCAATAAGCCAGTTCAGTATGTTGCGTCTTCAACTTCATACAGTCAACCTGGAAGAGAAAATGGAAAATTCAAATTATATCCTAAGAACAGGGTTAAACCATAGGGAGACATGTTTATTTCATTGAGTCTTGAAATACATGGACTGTGTTTGTAGATGAACTAGCAAACTGAGTATCAGTGATGAACTGGTTGGATGGCATCACCAACTCAATGGACACGAGTTTGAGCAAGCTCCAGGAGTTGGTGATAGACAGGGAAGCCTACTGTGCTGCAGCCCATGGGGTCACAAAGAGTTGGACATGACTGAACTGAGCCTTGATGCATATTGTTTTGAATCTTTATCAACAGATAATGTAAGTCAAGGGCAAGATTAAATAATGCTTTTATGCATTGCCATTAAATCTTAAAAATGGACTGAAGAGTTCTAAGATACCCAAACAAGTATTTTTTTTAATAATATAAAATTCTACTCTTGTAAAAAAAACAACAAAAATAACAACATGCACATACTAATAAAAAAACAGGTTTAACAGAGGTTTTTCTCCCAGGGTAGAACTATGGTTATTTTTTCTTTTTTAATTTTTCATTGGAGGATAACTGCTTTACAATGTCATGTTGGTTTCTGCCATACAACAATGTGAATCAGCCATTAAGCATACACATCTCCCCTCCCTCTTGAACCTCCCTCCCACCCCCTCTCTTCATCCCATCCCATCCCATCCCATCCCTTTAGGTTGTTACAGAGCACGGGGTTGAGTTCCCCACATTATACAGCAACTATATGTTTCAATGCTATACTCTCAACTTGTCCTACCCTCTCCTTCCCCTACTGTGTCCAGAAGTCTTTCTCTGTGTCTGAGTCTCTATTCCTGCCTTGCAAATAGGTTCATCAGTACATTTTTCTAGATTCAATATATATGTGTTAATGTATGATATTTGTTTTTCTCTTTCTGACTTACTTTACTCTGTATATCAGGTAACTCATCCACCTCACCAGAACGGACTCGAATTCTTAGTTCCATCTTTTAATGAGACTATTTCTTGAAATACTCCTTAAAAATGACATCTTAAGTACCCAAGGGTTTTGTCAGTTTTGGAACAGATGAATGGATAAAGATTTGGTGTATACAATGCAATATTGCTCAGTCATTAAAAAGAATGAAATAATGCCATTTGTAGCAACATGGATGGACCTAGAGATCATCATTCTAAGTGAAGTAAGTCAGAAAGACAAATACCATATGACACCACTTTGTGTAGAATGTAAAATATGATACAAGTGAACACACCTACAGAACAGAAACAGACTCACAGACGTACAGAACAGACTTGTGGTTCCCAAGGGGGCAGAGAGGTGGGGGAGGATGGACTGGGAATTTGGGATTAGCAGATGCAAACTACTACATATAGGATGGATAAACAGCAAGGTCTTACTGTATAACACAGGGAACTATATTCAATATCTTGTGATAAACCATAATGGAAAAGAACATGAAAAAGAATACACACACACACACACACACATAACTGAATCATTTTGTTGTACAGCAGAAATTAATACAACATTGTAAATCAACAGAACTTTAGTAAAATCTTTTTAAAAGTAATTGATCAGGAAGTCTAAGACATTAGGGCTGTGGAACTCCCTCAGTTTAACTCAGTGAATATGTACTGGGTTACTACTTTTCTTCCTGATAATTCAGTTGGTAAAGAATTCACCTGCAATGCAGGAGACTCTGGTTCAATTCCTGGGTCAGGAAGATCTGCTAGAGAAGAGATAGGCTACCCACTTCAATATTCTTGGGCTTCCCTTGTGGCTCAGCTGGTAAAGAATCCGCCTGCAATGTAGAAGACCTAGGTTCCATCCCTGGGTTGGGAAGATCCCCTGGAGAAGGAAAAGGCTACCCTCTCCAGTATTCTGGCCTGGAGAGTTCCATGGACTGTATAGTCCAGGGGGTTGCAAACAGTCAGACACAACTGAGCGAGTTTCACTTTACTACTCTGCACAGGACAAAGTGCCAGCTACAGCTTCTAGGGTAGCCTTGTGGCTTATCTTCTCTCTTACTCATTATTTTAAGACTAGCTTTAACTGTCTGCATGGATGTTTGCAACTTCCTTCTCCTTGTCTAGGAAGAAGTTGCTTTTGTCTTCATTCCAGGTTGTGGGGATGAGTAGTGACTTAGGTCTATCTAGAGCACCAGCCAATTTAAGAAGGTCCTGGAATTAAGGCCTGGGGCCTTTCTTTCTGATAGGGCAGAGAAGAGGAATGTGTGATAAGGAGAGACATGGGCCTCTGAATCACATGGAGACTCAAAGTACTCAGTACTTTGTATGCATCACACTCTCATTTAACTCTTGGTTGAAAGTCACAATTGTATGAAGGAGATGGTATTGTTTAACTGCATTTTACAGATGAAGGATAAGTGGCTGGTGAGTTATCTGAGCCACAGAATATGTTGTGGATCTGGAATATGAATCTCTCTTCTAGGTCCTCAAAGGCTCTCCACCACAGTGTATAGGACCCAGCAGAATTTCAGGTCCAGATCAAATCACACTGGGCCCTCCACTCCCATATTTTTAGAGGATGAAATCTGTCTAGAATATTTATCTAATAAAGTAGTAAAGGGAAAACAGGTCATGGACAGAGAGTTTATAGCTTGGGAAATGAGTATGTGGGGTACGGGTTCACTTTTTTGTCTTGATGAAGAGCCTTTCAGGTTATTTGAGAACTAGTGTCACTGATTTCTTGCCCGTTCTACAAAGACCTGTTTTCTCCACTAGACAAAAATATGAATGGCTGGTCCACTTCTGTCTCAAGTAATGACTGTGAGGATAAAATAGGCCCTTTGAAAACTATGGCACTTAACAAACTTGTAAGGCAACAATCATCTTTCCAAGGTATCGGGGAACTCGTAAGTGGTTGATTGAAATAAATTCTTCATTACTTGAGATACAGGAGATGTACCAACATTTGGTCACTGGACTTCGTTGATACAATCTAAAACGGCATTCTAACCAGCAGTTTTAATCTTTCTAAGATTTGGCTCTCTACAGAGCTTAAAAAAAAGAGAAACAAGGTGTAAAATGCCAGTAACATTAATTAAATTTCCTTTCCTTTGAGCCCTGTCCAGACCTTGATGGAATTAGGACAGAACAAAAAGATCAAGGGAAAAAAAAAGCCAGAAAGAGACTCAGGAACACAGACTGTGCCAGTAAATACTGAGTTAAGGAAATGAGTTGGGGGGGGGGGAAGACTTGAGACATCCCTGGGGACCGCTCTGGTTCGGGGGCAATCCCTTTGGCAATATTCCAGAATCTGAGTCCCCAGGGCTCCCCCCAGTGGGAAGGGAAAGATGCGCGTGGCCAGGCGCGCGCGCACGCGTGTACACTCACGTGTACACTCACACGCGCGCGCGCACACACACTACACATACACACAGCCTGTTTCCTCCGCTCCCCCTCCCCCCGGGGGGGCGGGTCTCTTTCTCTTTAAAGAGCAGACGGTCTCCGCGCAAACCCAGGTTCTCTAAGGCCCGGGGGCCCGGGACCCGAGCTCCTCGCGGCCAATGGGCGCGGTGGAGCGGCTCGAGCGCGGCTGACGCTGCACCAATGGGCGCTCGCGGGGGGCGGGGGCAGCGAAGGAGACACTATTGTTGATGAGGAGGAGCAGCGGCGGCGACGGCTGCACCACCTCGTTGCTGCCGGCCGCGGCCCGGGCGCCCCCAGCACCCCAGACTCCGGCTTCGTCACCCCGTCGCGGAGGCCTTCCCTCCAGCCTCGAGAATCCTCCCCCTGCCTTCTAACAACAAAACCACCCCACGTCTCGCCCAGTCACCGGGGAGGGGGGACCATGTCCCAGCGGGTGAGGCGCAATGGGTCCCCCACGCCGGCCGGCTCCCTCGGGGGCAGTGCGGTCGCCACGGCCGGGGGATCCGGGAGCCGCCTGCAGCCCATGAGGGCGACGGTTCCGTTCCAGCTGAAGCAGCAGCAGCAACATGGCAGCCCCACGCGGAGCGGCGGCGGCGGCGGCGGCGGCAACAACAACGGCGGCTGCTGTGGTGGCGCCTCGGGTCCCTCGGGCGGCGGCGGCAGCGGCGGCGGGGCCCCGCGCACCGCCTCGCGCAGCACGAGCCCCACTCGGGGCGGCGGGAGTGCGGCCGCGCGCACCAGCCCCACGGTGGCCACGCAGACGGGCGCGTCCGCCACGTCCACGCGAGGCACCAGCCCCACGCGCGCCGCCGCGCCTGGGGCCCGCGGAAGCCCCCCACGGCCGCCGCCGCCGCCGCCGCTGCTGGGAACCGTGTCGTCGCCCTGCTCGTCGCCCACCCACCTGTGGACTGGAGAGGTGAGCGCGGCCCCACCCCCGGCCCGCGTCCGGCACCGGAGGAGGTCCCCGGAGCACAGCCGAAGCTCCCCGGAGAGGAGGAGCCCGAGCGCCCCGGTTTGCAAAGCAGGTGCGTGCTGGGGGCTGCGCGAGGAGGGAAAGGCGGCGGCGGGAAGGGGTCCGGGGCGCGCGCCGCTACCGCGCGGGGACTGCGGCGCTACCGCGGTGCCCGGGCGGCCGTGGGCGGGGCCGGGGCGGGGCCTGGGCGGTGCGGCCCCGCCCTCCCTGGGCCGGCCCCGCGTCCCCTCCGCAGCTCCCGGGCCGCCCATTCATCCCTCGGTCAGCCTTGAGTTGGTGCCGGTCCGTGGAGGTGCAGCCGCTGACCTTGTGCCTAGGCAGATGTGTTAATGATAAACCTGGGGTTCTGGCCGCCCGCTGGTTATTGCTTACCCTCCCTTGGGAGTGAGGCTGAGAGTAGTTTGTCACTTTAGTGACATGGTTAATGTTGGTATAATGGTTGGTAACATGGTTAATGTTTGTTGCTAAGCGTTTCTCTTTCACAAAACAGTGTCAGATTTGGGGAACTTGAGGGCACTAGCATAGCAGGTTTGATTGGGTCCCTGAAGAGATGTGAGGCTGGGAGTGTGTTAGCATTCCCTAAGACTAAGTGGGTAGCAAGAAGTGAGAAGTAAGTTAAGCAAGATTCCTTTGGGAGGTTTATGGGCTTTGAGGGTCTGGTGTATTTCTGATACACTGATTTCGTGTTTAGGATATAAAACCAACTTTTAGAAAAGAACAAGACCTAAAGGTTTGTCTCCTTATTATTATTTTAGGGACCTAAAAATTGTTTTTCTCTAGACCTGGGAGCTTTTTTGGGAAAGGTCCTGAATGGAGCTGTTGAAATTCCTCAGGAGTCATTCATAAAGAGAAATTCAGACTGTAGAAATTGAAAGAGATAATATTTATCATCTGGTTGTCTTTGTAGAATCTCCTGAAAAGAGGAATGTGTGGTTTCTAGCTTGTGTTTTAGTACTGCCAGCATATGCCGTTGTCTTACCCTGTTTGGGGGACTTCTGTTAGAATTTTTAGGCAGAATGGCTGGATGTTTCAGGAAACTTAGTACAGTACTTCCTAACCAAATAAAAATGATGACGAAGTGGTTTCAAGAGTTCATTCAGAATTGTAGGGAATGGGATGAATCTTTTCTACTGTTTATTTCATCAAAGATTTTAGATGGTGGATACTTTGAGGGGAGAGAATTGCCCTGAAAAATGATTGATACTGTTCTGACTAAAACAAGAGTACTGTTTGAAACCTTTCAAACATGCAAAATGCTTTTTTTTAAACGTTGTTGAAAAAAAAAAAAATCCCTCTCCCTCAAATAATAGCTCTTACTTATTGAGCTCTTACTTACTCTGAGTGACTTACCTCCTGGATCTTACTTTAACTCTCACAGGAGGTTTTGGAGAGCAGGCAGTGGAGTGGATATTTGAACTCTGATGGGTGGAACTCCAAAACCGTGTCTTTTACATTGTATCAAGGAGGAAGCTTCATGGTGTGTAAGATAGTACTGGGGACATATGTAGCACCCCCAAAATGACATGTGCTTAGCTTTCCAAGCAACTCTTAGAGGTATCTGGTGAACATAATTGATTGAGCTTGCCTTCAACCTTCTGGAGCTGGCATAATGTGGCAGGTGGAAGGAAAGGAGAGCTACTTAGGTAGGGAGTTAAGATGGAGGAAGCCGGTGGTGATCTGATGGTCTGATAACAACGTCTGACTCTCTCTCAACTATTTGACCCTTAAAAAGCAGCGACCTAAAAAAAAAAGAAAAAGCAGTGACCTGATGAGACCCGGGTTAAGTTAAGTATTGGGAATGTGTGGAGGAAGATGCTCTTTTCTTATCTCAGACTCCTCATATGCCCACTTTTCATGTTTCCCAAAGCTTCTTTCTCTCATATCTGTCATTTCATAGAGTATTCATGCTGTAAAGTTGACTCTTTTCATTAGCCCTCTCCTCCCCACAAAAACAAACAAAAAAAAGCCCAGAAAAATAAAACCTTTTTCTTCCAATGGAGCGCTCTCTCTTGGGTGTGAAAAAGGGATACTGCTTGTTACTGAGTTACACCATCTGAGTCTCTGATAGCTTCCTTCCCAGGAATGTGTTCTTGTTTCGCTCTAGTAAACTTCTGTGCAGAGTGGGACAAGTATTTTCTGATTTTGTCCTCTTAGCACAAACTAAATCTGGAAGAAAAGGGATAAATCATGAGACTTCCTTAAAGAATTTTTTTATTCCTTTTTTTCTTTTCCTGGCAGCCCTACATGGTGTGTGGGATCTCCCCTGACCAGGGATCCAACTTGTCTCCATTGCAGTGGAGGTGTGAAATCTTAACCCCTGGGCCACCAGAGAAGTCCTTTATTATTTTTAATTGAAACATAGTTGATTTACAAAGTTTCAGGTGCGCATCAGAGACTCCCTTTTTGATTAAAGGAGATTACTGCTAGTTTTCAGCTTCAATGAAATGCAGACATCCTTATTGGTAGAGGCAGGGATCTGCCTTATTAAATAAACCTCAAGTAACTCAGAAATTCCAGGGTCCATCTAGGTCAGGCAGTCAGCTTGTAGGTGAGTTGGATGCCCTATCTTTGTTTGGAATCCCCCTGTTTGAAGGTCTCAGGATCTTTTGAGGGGTGTCCCTATGCAGTCAGCTCCCTCCGCAGTTGCTTTATTCCCCCGGGGTTACAGTTACTCATTGGCTGATCGAGAACCTCCTTCTCTTGAGGACTGGAAGGTAATCCAAGCACCTATCCCTGACAGATAGTTTCAACTTCCCACCTTCAGTGCCTGCTATCTCCAGGGCCATGTGGTTTTTCATTAGGGCTTAGAGAAGATAACTAGGCAGCAGTGTTAACTGTAGAGAAAATGGTGAAGAAGGTAAAGATTTAAAATTCTGTGATGGTAACAAGTAGGCTGAGCCGGGAGAATAGGCTTTTGAATTTGACATTTCAGTCCAGTTGTTAATGTTAGACCAGCATGTTGGGGACATAAATCAGGTTAAAGTATTGGTTGAGGAAGTAGAGGTAATGATTATAGATTGCTCTTACGGAGTATAAATTACTGTGTCACTGTAAGGAAGGTGAGAAAACAGGACCAAGAGGTGAGCTAAGGTTCATTTGTTTACTTATAGGATGGGGAACACTTCAGCATGTGTCATAGGTTTGGGGAAAGGATTCCCAAGAAAATGAAAGACTGCAAGTTCAAGAGTAGGCAATAATAGATGGAGCAAGGTCGTGGAAAATGAGAGAAGCAGTGGGATCCAGCACAGGGTGTAGTCTGGAAATCTCAGAAACAATTAAGTACGCTTCTTTCTCTGAGGATGGAGAGGAGGTAAGGGTACGTTAAGACGATAGATGACTCAGCAATAGACAGGAAGGGAGTTGATAAAGTAAGCTATTTTTATTGCCAGACTACTTGAAGAAGAAATAGTATGTTTGTCAGATACTGTATTTTAAATTTTATCAGAGTACATGTATGTAATTTAAAATGTCAGGAAACACTAACACTTTGTTCAACTTTATGTATTTTACAGTGACTTTCTACTCTGACAGCTGTAGACTTGGTCCCTTATTGTAGTTACACTGTAGTTACAGCACTCTTTTTGGTTAAATCATTATTAATGTTTATATTATTACGACCGTGTAAATACTGTTTACAGCAGAACCTTGTGGTATGCTACAATTATATTTCCTTTCTTTTATAACTTTTTAGGCTCCTTGAAATTGAAAAGGCTTTTGTTTTGTTTTTTGTGTACCTCTGACTAAGTCATCCCCAAACTTTTCATAACAAACTTTCTTTTAAGTATTTTAAAACACATCCAATACTTTGTCAGTTTTTTTTTTTTTTCCTTGAAGATAGCCTTCCTGGAATCTCCTGGCCTCCTATTCTCTGCTGTCCCATTGATTTCCAGATCGGTGGCATGGCTTTTGCCTTGGAACTTCTCTGGAAACTCCTTCACCTCCCTCTGGTTTTGGAAACCGTGATCTCTGGAACTTGTTTTACTAGAGCATAACCTCCAAAGTCTTTTTTTTTTTTAAGACCTTGAATGTCTGCACTTACCTGTCTTTGCACTTAATGGTTTGACTCAGTATAGAATTCTAGGTTGGAAATAATTTTTCTACTGATGATTGAAAGGACTTCATTTTTTAGGCTCTAGAAAAGCCTTTGGGAAGTCTGAATGCCATCCTCATTCTTAGTCCTTTGTGTATGGTGTGTGTGTGTTTGTCTTTATGAAAGCGCTGCCACTATTCTGAAGCGATTACCTTGGTGTAGGATTTGTTTTCCCCCATTTAGTGTGCTGGGTGCTCTGGAATTTTACAACCTCAGGACTCTTTGTTTCTGGGACCTTTTCTTCTCTTATTTCTTCTTTCTGTTATCTTTGTTTTATGTTTTTGGAACCACCGCTATGTAGAACCTCTTGGATTCAATCAATAATTTTCTTATTTCTGTCCTGGTTTCCATATCTTTGTTGTTGCTGCTGTTGTTGTTCTAGCAGATACATTTTCTGCTGCTTCAACTGAGTTGAAATTTTTTGGACATAATCATTTTGGGGAAGGATTTAACCTTACTTTTTGTGTTAGTATCTTTTAAGTTATTCCTTGTCTTGTCAGTGTCTTGTGAAAACATTTTAAAAAAGGTGTAAATACCCTCCAAGGTTTCTTTGCCTTCTTCATTGTCCTGAGAGCCCTTTTTGTCTTGAGCTGTGTCTTTCTTGTTGGAAACTTTCCTTAGTTTTCAATTAATATTTAAATAAGGTACAAAATTGCTGATTAGGTTTTTAGTCTGAGTGCAGGTCATTCTGGTAGACTGGAGGCTCTCAAAGTTGAATGATGATGCAGGGTCTCTCAAAAGTAGGTTTTCTTTTTTTTTCCTTTTCTTGGGCCAGTTTCTCCTGGGAAGAGTCCTACAATATCATGCCTGAAGATCTGTCTTACGTCCTTAAATACAGAGCCTGTCTAGTTAATCTCTCTCAAGCAGTTTCTCCCAGTCTTTTTGCTCTGGAGACACCCTTGGAATAATTTCCATTTCTCAGGGAACCCCTGCATTAGTGATCAGTAAGTTGAGATACGATG